ATACATATATATACATATTTATATACATATATACATATATACATATATATATATACACACACACCACCTCTTCTTTATCAATTCATCAGTCGATGGACACTTGGGCTCTTTCCATAATTTGGCTATTATTGATAATGCTGCTATAAACATCAGGGTGCACATATCCCCTTGAATCAGTATTTTTGTACCCTTTGGGTAAATACTTAGTAGTGTGATTCCTGGATTGTAAGGTAGTTCTATTTTTAACTTTTTGAGGAACCTCCATACTGTTTTCCAGAGTGGCTGCACAAGATTGCATTCCCACCAACAGTGTAAAATTTCCCTTTTCTCCGCATCCTTGCCAACATCTGTTGTTTCCTGTGTTGTTAATTTTAGCCATCCTGACCAATGTGAGGCGGCATCTCACTGTAGTTTTGATTTGTATTTCCCTGATGATGAGTGATGTTGAGCATCTTTTCATGTGTCTGTTAGCCATCTGGATGTCTTCTTTATGTCTTCCTTAGAAAAATGTCTATTCAGGGGGTGCCTGGGTGGCTCAGTTGTTAAGCATCTGCCTTCAGCTCAGGTCATGATCCCAAGGTCCTGGGATTGAGCCCCCATCGGTCTCCCTGCTCAGCGGAAAGCCTGCTTCTCCCTGTCCCACTGCCCCTGCTTGTGTTCCCTCTCTCGCTGTGTCTCTCTTTGTCAAATAAATAAATAAAATCTTTAAAAAAAAAATATCTATTCATGTCTTCTGCCCATTTCTTAACTGGATTATTTGTTTTTTTGGGTGTTGAGTTTGATAAGCTCTTTATAGATTTGGATACAAACCTTTTATCAGATATATCATTTGCAAATATCTTCTCCCATTCTGTAGGCTGCCTTTTAGTTTTGTTGATTGCTTCCTTCACCATGCAGAAACTTTTTATCTTGATGAAGTCTCAGTAGATTATTTTTGCCTTTGTTTCCCTTTTTTTACCTATGGTGATGTGTCTAGTAAGAAGTTGCCATGGTCAAGATCAAAGAAGTTGCTGCCTGTGTTCTCTCTTAGGATTTTTATGGTTTCAAGTCTCACATTTAGGTCTTTCACTCATTTTGAATTTATTTTTGTGTATGGTGTAAGAAAGTGGTCCAGTTTCACTCATTTGTTGAAGAGACTGTCTTTTTGCCATTGGAAATTCTCTCCTGCTTTGTCAATGGTTCCATTGTGTTTGTTATTAATTGTTTTATGTATTTGGGTGCTCCCAAATTGGGGGCAAAAATATTTACAATTGTTAGAGCTCCTTGTTGGATAGACCCCTTTATTTTAATACAGTGCCCTTCTTCATCTTTTGTTACAGTCTTTGGTTTAAAATCTAGTCTGTCTCATGTAAGTATTTGCTACTCTGGCTTTCTTTTTATGTCTATTTGCATGATAAATATTTCTCCATCTCTTTACTTTCAACCTTCAGGTGCATTTAGGTCTAAAATGAGTTTCTTGTAGACAGCATATAGATGGGTCTTGCTTTTTTATCCATTCTGACAGCCTATGTCTTTTGATGGAGTATTTAGTCCATTTATGTTCAGAGTAATTATGGATAGATATCAATTTAGTGCCGTTTTATTGCTGTTTTGTTGTTGTTTCTGGAGATTTTCTCTGTTCCTTTTTAGTCTTTTTTCCCACTCAAAGAGTCCCCTTTAATATTTTTGCAGGACTAGGTTAGCAGTCACAAATTCCTTTAGCTTTTGTTTTTCTAGCACACTCTTTATCTCTCCTTCTATTCTGAATGATAGCCTTGCAGATAGAGTATTCTTGGTTGCAGATTTTTCCCATTTAGCATGTTGAATATATCATGCCACTTTTTTCTGGCCTGCCAAGTTTCTGTGGATAGATCTGCTGCTAACCTTACTTTTCTTCACTTGTAAGTTAGGGAATTCTTTTGTCTTGCTGCTTTTAGGATATTTTCCTTATCTCTATATTTTGCAAATTCAACTACAATATGTCTTAGTATTGGCCTGCTTTTGTTGATTTTGATGGGAGTTCTCTGTGATCCCTGGATATGGAGTCTGTTTCCTTCCCCAGATTAGGGAAGTTTTCAGCTATAATTTCCTCAAATAAACCTTCTGCCCCCTTTCTCTCTTCTTCCTCTTCTGGGACTCCTATGATAGGAATGTTAATACATTTCATGGAATCGCTGAATTCCCTAAGTCTACTTCCATGATACAAGATTTTTTTCCTTCTTTTGATCACCTTCATTATTCTCCATAATTCTATCTTCTTTATCATTTATTCATTCCTCTGATTCTTCCATCCTTATGATCATTGGATCCAATCTGTTTCAAATCTTGGTTATTACATTTTTCATTTTGGCCTGATTGGTTTTAAGCTCTTTTATCTCTGCAGTAAGGGTCTCCCTGGTATCTTCCACGCTTTTCTCAAGCCCAGATAGTATCCTATTATGATTGTAGCTTTAAATTCTGGATCAGGTATATTACTTATATCTGTTTTGATTGGATCCCTAGCCATGACCTTTTCTTGTTTCTTTTGGGATGAGTTCCTCTCTCTCTTGGTATTTTTGTCTAGGTCTCTGTCTTCTCTGTGTTAGGAAAGACTGCTATGTTCCCTGCTCCTGAGAGTAATGGCTCTATGATGAAGTCATATAATGTTCAAGGCCTGGACCTTAAGGAAGTGTCTCTGGTGTATGCTATATGCACTCTGCTGTCGTGTTATGGCTGCTCTATCCATCAGGTCAATCTTCTTCAGGGTTTCCCCCTGCCTGTAGTGGAGAGTGTTTGGACCTTGGCCAGAGTATGGTGAGTTTTAACTAGGTGTGCTCTGATCTGCCTGGTAAAAGAGACCTAAAAGTATTTCCAATGGAGCTGAAGTGTTGCAGAACTCTATGGTCAGTAGACATGGTGCATGCAGGGATTTGTGCTGGCCTTCAGGTGGAAGGGCCTGCTGCACTGGTCCTTAGGCACACTTCCTGAAGAAAAGCAGTAGCAGCAGAGCACAGTGGGGGCAGGGCTTAGGTTTAGGCCACCAGTGTTGGTGCTGTGCTGTTTACTGATGTTGGTTTATGCTGAGGGGTCAGGTAGAGAAACAGCAGCTCCTTTGTCCCCACAGAGGGGAGTTTGTGCTTGCTGTTGTCAGGGAAGTCCTCCTAGAAGAGTGAATAATTTCCTCTCTTGCATCATAGGTGTTTTTCAGATCACTGTTTTCATACTGTCTGTGTCTGGGTTACTTGCCTGCCTGGAGCAGCACAATGCACTTTGGATTTTAGCCCAGCCAGGCCAGCTGAGTTTTAAAACTCCAATCTTTAAGAGTACTGGGGTGACTTTCAGTTAAGTGTCTGACTCTTGACCTCAGCTTAGGTCTTGATCTCAGGATTGTGAGTTCAAGCACCACATGGAACCTACTTAAAAATCAATCAATCAATCAATCTCCAAACTTTAGGGACCTACTGTGGAAGGGACATACACTGGTCTTCTGGGAGAGGATCTCGCTGCCCTGGTATTGGTGCAGATTTGACCCAGAAGGGCAGTTGCACCAGAGTGCAGGAGTGCGGGATTTGGAGCAAAGGGCACTAAGGAGCCAGTGTCCAGGTTTGCTGCCCTCAGCAGGTGTCTCTGCATCTATGCTGAGGGATGGGGGGAGGGAAATGGCGCCCACCAGCTCCTTTGTCCCCAGAAAGGCAATGCCTCCTCTCTCAGATGAACTCCAAGAAGGGGGAGCCATCTTCCAGTGCATCTCAGGTGATCCACAGATCATGCCCTATGCCCCTGAATTACCTGCCTGCCTTCTCTACAGGAACACTGCAGCACCCTCAGGGCTTTATACCAGCCATGCCATGAACCTTTAAAACTCCAGTCTTTGAGCCCTGCTGGTGGCAAATACGAAAATCAGCCCATCTTATTTTCCTAGTCAATGGCTTTGGGGAGTCATTTTCCTTGTGCAATCCCCTGTGTGCTCCTCTTTCTCTTGTCTCTCTCTGTGACCAGGGCTCCCACCCCTTCCACACATCTCCGCACCTCCTACCTTCCACGATGTGGCGTCCTCTCTCCCTCTAGTTGTGTAGTTTGTTCTGTAAGTCCTCAGATTGATTTCTTGGGTATTCAGAATGATTTGATATTTATCTAGCTGTGTTTGAGGGACAAGGCAAGCCTAGGGTCCTCCTACTACTCTGCCGTCTTAGCTCCTTCCCCCTCTATAGTGTTTTCAAAAAGACTTGATGTCTTAAAGTTCTTTATAAATTTTAATTTTTGTTGTCTTGCTTACACTTTTATTTTGGTATATTAAAGTCAAAGACTGTCCTCAGTGATCATTGGAACATTTTACTAATAATCTAATTCATACATACAGTCAAGTATAGATTCCCTTTTAATTCCTATGAAGATCTGTGGATTTGGATGTTACTGAAGCTGTTAAAACCATCCATGAATTCTTCCTGTCTAAAGTCTTCCTGTATGCATCCTCATTTACAATGGTAATTTACAACCTATTTTTAAACATTCAGACTATGAATAATCTTTCTATTTAGAAGCATTTCCTCTCTGAAGCCCCACAACTATTTTGATTCTGCAGATCATATGCTAATTTAAATCTTTTCTTTCTATAAATTTAGAGCTCATACCTTTAGTGATGTTCAGGAAATTTAGTCACTTTGTGGAGCAAACATGTTCTGAAGAGTTGATATCTTTATTGACTTGAGGCACTCATAACTCCAAGAATCTCAATCCCATCTTGAAATCAATACTGTTGGATATTAAAAATAAATTCTACCTGTCAGAAACTATTGTGGAAATAATTTTTTCATGTGGAAAATAAATGTAGCTATCTGTGAACATAGCCATGCATGTCGTATATTAGAATTAACTACTAATCAGTATCTAGACTTGTGGAATATTGTATTTCTATTCTAGCTACTGAATGAAGCCACTGAAATAGCTGGTTATGTTTACATTCTAAAAGAAAGCATTTATAGATAATAATAACTTCCCTCTTGAAGTGACTCCTGTCTATCTATATGTGTTGTCTTTTGTAGCAAATCCATTCTCGGGTCTATGCTATTCAGCATGACATTACAGAATGAGCCTCCCATAGAAATGATAGCTCCAGGAGTGTGGGATATAAGCCAGCCATCTCCAGTGATCCTGCAGGTAAGAGTCAGGCTATGAGATTAAAGTATACATGGCAAAAAAAAAAAAAGTATACACAGCAAATATTTGTTGATAAGTAACTTCTCAATTACAGAAACAATTTTCTTCTAGTATCACATATTTTAATAGTCTTCTCTTCTGCCAATCTGCTGGGATTTGTAAAACCTCTAGTTCTTTATTTTGTATTCAGTACTCTCAAAGCACTTTTCCTCCAGCTTATATAATAGCAATTTCAAGCCATTCTCCATCAAACATGATCATGAAGGAAAGAAATGGAGTGTTGCCATTAGTATATTCATTATGTGGATTCTATTCAATAGTGGATTCACTATTCTTTCCATTGTCTGAAAACAGTCATTGGCATATATTATTAACTTGGTACCTTATACCTGCCTTTGCATTGTGTCATGTTTCCTTAAAATCCTTCAATTGTACATTTCCTATATGACTAGAAATTAGGTCAGTAGTGGAAGAGAAACTGCAAACAAAATCCATTCAACATACTTTCTTTACTCTTAAGACCCTTCTTCTTTCTGTGATTTGAAATCATGAATAAAAGGTGGCTAATGATTCCAGACTTGAGTCCTTACTGCTGAGAGCTCCTGTGTGTTCATCATTATAAATGATCATATTGGTCAGATACATGAAGCATGGCCATTCTCATATATGGAAGTGCAGGGAATATGGACTTTCCATCTCTATAGGGAAAAACTGGGAACTGCTATCTGGGCAGCACTCTCCAGAACTGGATTTCTCAACTCAACACTAATGACATTTTAGACCAGATAACTCTTTGTTGTGGGGGCTGCCTTATACATTGTGGAATATTTAGCAGCATCTTTGGCTTCTACCTACTAGGTGTCAGTAGCACCTGCCTAGTTCTGACAATAAAAAAATTGCTTCTTGATATTGTCAGATGTCCTTTAGGGATAAAATTACCCTCAGTTGAACAGAGCTGTTCTAGAGAAAGCTAGTGGAGTCTCTGAGTTCTTAAGTTTCCAGGTTTGGGTTGAGGGACAAAGTGTAGCAAGATGTTGAAACTAAAAGAGAAAAATAATACTAATAAAAATGTGGCTTCCACTGTGAAGGAGGAAGTCCTTGCCAAACATAGATTTACTTCTAATTCATTGATGTGATGATGAAAAAGAGTGTTCACGTTCGATATTGGCACAACATCATAGATACTCAACATGTAATGGCTTATTATTTAGCAGATGTTCCATTGTAACATGACAACTACCTTTCTTTAAGAGGCCAAATGCAGGAGCACCTGGGTGTCTCAGTTGGTTAAGTGTCTGACTGTTGACATCGGCTCAGGTCATGATCTCAGGGTCGTGAGATCAAGCTCCAAGTTGGGCTCTGCATGCTCAGCATGGAGTCTGCCTGAGCTTCTCTCTCTGCCCCTCCCCCAATCATGATCTATAAATAAATCAAATCTTTTAAAAAATGCATTTTTTAACAGACTATTGCTTGCCAGATATAAACTACCTCAGTTTAATGAGAATCTTCCAAGTCTGACCATTGCCTGAGCTTTGAGGATATAAAGTTATGATTCAACGGGTATTTATCAGCAGTGGTGGGGGTGGAAGAAGTAAGAGAGACTATCAGATGATTCTTCTCAGATGAGAGGAATACCTCCGTTAGAACACAGATCCTGGCAAGTGGAATCTGAGGATTAGTTTCAAGTATTCAATAGGAGGATAGATTTCCAACTAGACATCTGGAGCTATAACCAAATTTATCTTTAAAAAAAAGGTGGGGGGGACATGAAAATCATTCAACATCATGTAAAAAGTTAATCTAATTTTTATAAAATAATTTCAAATGGTATAGACATAAAAGGAAACATCTCAAGATATTTTTAATTGATGATAAAATATACAAAATAAAATAGGAGTTATTAAAGTTAAAACTCTTACTAACCAATATCACTCTAATTATATACAGCTAAATTTAGAGTAGAATCTTTCAGCCTAAAGATTATAGTGAGGAAATTAGCAAATTCTGCAACCAGTATTTGTGTTAAGGAGTCAAGATGGGTATCAGGGAAAGACATCAGGCTCAGAGTTAGAAAATCTGGATTATAGTTTTAGCTCTTAAATAGAAAACTTTATGACTTTGGACAAGTCACCAAAACTATTTTCACCTCTGTACAATGAAAGGGTTATGCTATGCCTATCCAACTTCCTTCAGATCTGTACTTTTCTGATTGTCTTTATTAGATAGACAGTTACTGCCCCATGGTTACCACCCTACTATGAGAAGGGATATGATAAGTCACAGAACCTGAATCCTTTAAGTCCATCACTTTTTTTTAGGTTCTATGGCTTAAGTGCCCTGAAAGCAGTGGGTGGAGTGAAGTAGATCTGAGTTCAGAAATGGACAAAGATTGGGGTACCTGGGTGGCTCAGTCAGTTAAGTATTTGCCTTCAGCTCAGGTCATGATCCCAGGGTCCTGGGACCGAGCCGCACATCCA